TTTGTCTTACCTGGAATCTCAGAGTAGCCGACACATTGAAACCCGGCGTACATACCACTCCTGCCACGTACATACCACTCGCGCCACGTACATACCACTCGAGCCACGGACATACCACTCGCGCCACGGACATACCACTCGCGCCACGGACATACACATATTTTCATCATATTTTATAGGCGCTTGAGATAACACGAGTATTATTCGCGCGTGCCTAGTCTGACCTATTCCCCTACCACGGGGAACCCTAGAAACCTTACTCACCGACAGAAAAACAGCACTAACAAAAGGCAGTGTCAATATCCAAACTTTTGTGTGTGTGGACCATAACACAAGAGTTACATGTAAAGAAATTATACTAGAAAAAAATACTTACTATTAAAAAACTAGAAATTGTGGGTTATCTAAAATGCGTAGAGAACCCGCTGCCTTGCAGCCTAAGAAATGGTAGAGAAAATTCAACACGGCCATCGGGGTCGCGGTAGCATAATGGTCAGTGCTTGCCCCGGATAGCGAAGCGTGCGGGTTCGAGTCCCGTCTGCTGCCTGATCCGCGTGGAATTTGTTCTAGTAAAATTTTTTTTAGATTAAATATTTAGCTGTTTTGTGATGCTTTAAAAACAAAAATATGACATGAGCTTACTTTGGGGCTACGAACGATTCAAAAACTAGGATTTAGACTTGAATAAGCAGAATAATTCGTTTTAAAACAAAGACGATAGATTTGACCCTAAAATTAGTAATCAAATTAAAATACAAGTCGTAATGTAGGCCTTATCGGGGCGCTTTAAAAACCCAGGACTCTTCTTAAGAACTAACCAGGACGTCTCAGGGCACCCCGAAAATGCTTTTCCAGGACATGTCCTGGAAAAACAGGACGGGTGGCATCCCTAGGCTTGGCTAATGGATGTGCGTATAAACAACAACTGTTCTTAAATATATGATTATTTAGTGTTTCCCAAATTCATACTTTTAGAAATTATTCATCATCATCATCAGCCTATTAATGTCCCCACTGCTGGGGCACAGGCCTTCCCTATGGATGGAATAGGGAGATTGGGCCATGAACCACCACGTGGGCCCAGTGCGGATTGGCGGGTGCTAACGACCGCAGATGCAGCCGGGACCAACGGCTAAACGTGCCTCCCGAAGCACGGAGGAATTCGAGATAGAAGTTTCTGGTCACCCATCCAACGACCGACTACTGCGAAAGTTGCTTAACTTCAACGATCGCAGCCGAACGCGCTCCTCCAGAGAGATCCTCCTCCCTTAGAAATTATTATAGTGTTAGAAGTAGTGCTACAATTCCAACAATCTAGTACTTTGCCTGTTTCAAAAAAATGGGTAACGTCATATAAAACAAACAAACAACAATCAGTTACTAGTAAATATAATATTAACCTAATGACAGGTTAAAGAGAAATATATCTTCTAAATACACAATAAGTAAATATTATTGTTTTACAATCGAATCGTTAGTTAGATTGGAAACAATGTTCATTTTCAAATAGTTTAGATTTATCGTCGATTGAAAATAACTTATATTTTTTCTTCTTATGTTATTAGGGGCATACGAGCAGACGGCTCACCTGATGGTAAGTGATCACCGCCGCCCATGGACACTTGCAACACCAGGGGTATCACAAATGCGATGCCGGCCTTTAAGGAAGGAGTACGCTCTTTTTTTGAAGGTTCTTGGGTCGTATTGGTCCGGAAACACTGCTGGCGACAACATATTTCACAGTTTTGTCGTACGTGGTAAAAAATTTCGACAAAAACGCACGGTTGTGGATAGCCACGCATTAAGATGATGGGGATGAAATTTTTGTCGCGATGTACGATGGCGAAATGCAGCAGCTGGAATTAATCCGAACAATTCCTCAGAACAGTTTGTAGAGTATTATATTTATCTTTTTTATTATATTTATCTTTTTGTAGTGTTCCAAATGAAATTTGCCACAACTATTTTGCAGCACGAGGTGTCAGCTAATTGTCAAATTCTGATGGTATTTAATGGTAATATAGTTGCAACTTTATATCATTAATTTCTTGCTCGAAAAGATATTTTATTTACAAATATTGATGGAGGGCCAACTTATAAGTAATCACACTAATATATATATATATATATATTATATATAAAGGCGAAAGTTTGTGAGTATGTATGTTTGTTACTTCTTCACGTCTAAACGGTTGGAGCCATTTTAATAAAATTTGGTATGGAGTTAGCTGACACCCTAGATTAACACATAGGCTACTTTTATCCCGAAAAATGTTAGGTTCCAGAGGGATTTTCAAGAAACTAAGTTAACGTAGACAAAGTCGCGGGCGACCTCTAGTAGAGTATATAATGTAAAAATAAAATGAGGCTAAAATGAATTACATCCATATTCCCTATTTGAACTAGGATCCATGATAAAATCCATTCAAGAGTGTAAGGCACTATTTGTAGAGTTCTAAATTAAATTTGCCACAACTATTTTGAGGTCAGCTAATTACCAAATTCAGATGGTATTTAATTGTATTAAAATTTAGTTGCAAATGTCTCTGTGAATTTGAATAAGTATCTACTTAGGATCATTTTACTGGTTCTTTACGCTATTTATTAAATTAATTCAGCTGCAAAAGAATATTTGCAGATATTCTCGATTAAATGTTAGGTAAAACTAGTTAGAATAGAATAGAATAATCTTTATTTGCATTAAATAGGGTTGACAAAAGGTGTTTGCATATAAAGCATATGTTAAAAGCTAAGAATCTTAAACCTATTTAGCCATATCAATAGCATGCAAAAAATTCTAATATATTAAAACATAATAGTCATATTAAATTTACCTATCATTCATTTAATAACAAGTATTTTATCATTATAATTTAAATTCAAATTAATTACAATTCTCAATGTCAGTTCAAAATAAAAATATTTTATGTCAATTTAGTGTGATATACCTATAATAACAAAATTTTTCAGTATGATGAGTTAATGCACGAATTTTATTTATTTATTGACGTTTCGCAGCATTTTTAGGTCTACATCGTCAGAAATATTTATTCTGACGTTGCAGACCTGAAAAGGCTGCGGTTAAAACTAGTTTTATTTAATGAGTGATGTGCGTGAAAGCCGAAGAATTAAATGTTAGGCTTTGATTGATGTCGCTTTAGATTTTTTAATTACACTAAAGGAAATAATATATAAAATAATATTAGTTAAAACCAAAGCTAATAAAGATTTTAGATAAACATTAGTGAAGTAGACCTAGATATGATCATTGGGGATGAAAATATAAATTATATATTATATCGTGACAATAAGGAATATGCATCTCTTTTTTATATTTTTTTTCTAGAAATTTATATATCTCCTGTATGCAGCATAAAAAAACTACGTTGAAAAAATTGACACTTTGATATGATGTCACGATACATATAAGCCGACACACAATTTCAATGATCTTTAAAGATCTTACCTCAGAGTATACATAGTTTAATGTATACTCTAAGGGTGCGGCCAGAGTGCACTCAGATTCAGATTCAGATTCCGAAAACAAGAGCGAGAAATAAACAGTGTAGTGTAAGCAGGTTGCCTGTTTTTTCTCGCGGTTTGTTTTCTGAGTCTGAATCTTAATCTGAATCAGGAGTGCACTCTGGCCGTACCCTTCGACTACACTGTTTATTTCTCGCGCTTGTTTTCGGAATCTGAATCTGAGTGTACTCTGGCCGCACCCTAAGGATCTTAAATTTTGCGTTCCATATCTTCACTGTGGATGGAAGTCGGAACCTACGTTAATCGAATAGACATTATATTTTGATAATTTTTTGGTACTTTTTTAATGTTACAGTAAAAAGTTGCATTCGGTGTCAAGGTGGAACGCGGCTTTGACATCGCACTCGCCCTAATTTCGTTGACATTGGCATATCCTGTGAAAATATATATAGATATATTTTTACGTAACAACCGCTCTTGTCGTGTTTTAAAATATTTGATTTTCCCGCAAGCTTTTCGCAATAATTAATTTCTTGCTCGAAAATATATTTTATTAACAAATATTGATGGAGGGCCAACTTATAAGTAATCTATATATATAAAACTCAAAGGTGACTGACTGACTGACATAGTGATCTATCAACGCACAGCCCAAACCACTCGATGGATCGGGCTGAAATTTGGCATGCAGGTAGATGTTATGACGTAGGCATCCGCTAAGAAAGGATTTTGATCAATTCTACCCCCAAGGGGATAAAATAGGGAATGTAAGTTTGTATTAAACTTTGTCAATTTTAAACCGATCGGACTGAGACTTTGCATGCAGGTATAATAAGAATCATAGATGAATGTCATTGTGTATAATACAAGCCGGAGAACAAAAACTGTAGTCTACACTTCAGCTCTACACCGAAGCGAAGCGAGGGCGGGCCGCTAGTAGAGTATATATAAAAATAAAATAAGGCTTATTTGAATTACATTCATATTTCTAAAGAAAAGTTTACTAGAAAAAAATCCACAAGGACCAGGCAGCGGACGGGACTCGAACCCGCATCCTTCGCTATCCGGGCGAATGCACTGACCATTATGCTACCACGGCCCTATTAGCCGCGTCAAAATTTTCCTAGCCTTAAGCTGCAAGGCAGCGCCATCTCTTCGCATTGTTGGTAACCCACAATGTCCCGTCCCGTGGTAGCATAATGGTCAGTGCATTCGCCCGGATAGCGAAGGATGCGGGTTCGAGTCCCGTCCGCTGCCTGGTCCACGTGGATTTTTTTTCTAGTAAACTTTTCTTTAGATTTAAACATCTAGCAGTTAAATGCTTAAAAATAAAAATCATAACTACATTCATATTCTCTATTTGAACTAGTGTAATTGTATTTCATAGAGCAACATGGACACGACTCGGACCCCTCTAGCACTAAGTGTTATTAGAATCCATAATAAAATCCATTCAAGAGAGTAAGGCACTAAGCCACGTAACTTACTAAAATATAAAAAAAAAGAAAACCAGAAAACCTTCAATAAGCAGATATTTTATTTAAAACATCTCCGGAACACAACAACATACAGCAATTCAAACATGGCGGAGTAAAAAATAAACGACTTCAGTTTTTCAGCAGTAAGTGAGCAATTCGTCTAGTTTGCAAGGTTGGTCGCAGCACTCAGCGACGACACCCCTCTTGTGACGAAAGCCTTGCAGCATCTGCATCTTCCAATCATCGTTAGCATTCGCACCCAAATTATTTCTTTTCAAGTCCAAAGTTTCCTTTTCCGAGAGCTCATTTTGTACAGAGTCCTTTGATGCATCCCTTTTGACTCGTCTGCTTTCGATAAACTTGCTCCACTGCACTAACTCGCCCGAACTCAGATCCTTCTGTGACTCTTGATCGTCGTATATATCTCTGTTCGTCTCAAAAATAGATTCAATCGAGTTGCTAGATCTCTTTGAAACCTCGTCGTATGAGCAGAGTACAGCTAAGGTGTTAGCTAAACGTCTCCCGCAGAAATATTGTGCTGAGGACTTGCCGTATGTTGAAGACACAATGCTTAATATAGTGATAAAGCATATCAGTTGGACCTTCATCTTTCTGTGTTTTTGATATAAAAACTTTTCCTAATGGTTTAGAGTAAACAGAAGGCCGATGTATGTGTTGTTATTCCCGAGATATAAGTGTGATTAAACAATGACAGGCGCCGGGTTTTATACTAAATTTGGTTTATCAGTATTCAAATATTCGGAGCGTGGGATAGTGTTGTTTATTTATTAACCTTCTGTCACTTCTTGTAGGTGAAGAATAGGGCACTCATTTACCTGGCAAAGCTCCTGTTGATAGGTTTTTTACCTGATTCCTTTGTGCGGTCTCTATATCGCTAGATTTTGACTTACACCAGCGAAAAGTATTACGTTATCAATGGCAGCGTACAATTCTAAAGATTATTTATTTTTTTAACCTTGAAGCGATCGTCTAAGGAGCTTTTCTTAGAAATGCGCTATTGTGTTAAAAACAAAAGACTGGTGCGGAAGACAAAGCAAGGAAATTTTCGGAGGCCTCAGAAATATTATTGAGTTGCCAAAGATAAACTGGAGTTTGTTTGTGCAGGCGTTGAACTATTGTCTAGAGGTAAGTTGAATTGGCAACAATAAATTGTATTGTATTCAATACAATAATTGTTTCTCTTCCTACCTGTAACACTTTTAAGTATTTATTGATAAATGAGAAGCTGGCGAACGAAACGGTATAATTATATAATTTATGCATTTAAAAAATCTTTAGTGTTTGGCATCCACTTGTCAGATAAAGGACCCAAGGGCGAAACATATGGAACTTTTTAATATTGTTTACCAGCTGTAACAAACTATGTTTCATGCAAATAAACTTTCATTTCATTTAATTTCAGTTGAAAACCAGCGCCAGTGCATATTGCACTGACATTATGCTGAACAGGGCCCTTTTCAGCGCAGCCGGAGATACGGAGTGGTAGAGCGATTGAGCTTCCACTGACTAAATTTAAATCTCAAATCAAAAATACTCTTATGAATAAGGGCTATTATAAAGTTGATGATTATCTAAATGATCGTAATGCATGGACATAGTGTTTCTTATAATTTGTTATTAAATGGATATTGGTCATTTTTCATAACAGAAATATTGTACCTATCTAATGCCGCTTCCTATATATACTTAATATGTATAATGTTTACTATAAAATTAATTGTAACTATATATTTATATTCTAAATGATGTAATGGAAAGTGACTTCAGACGTATTTCTGAAGTCATTTTTCAACTTGACGACACTGTATATAAAAATACAGGGAGAAAAAAACAGCCCTTGCCGAGTTTCTTGCCGGTTCTTGTCAGTACAAGGTCTCCCGCCGTAGTTTTGCGAACCAATGGCGTAGCTTCTTGACCTTCACGAGTGCTTGTAACAGCCTAGACTGAATAAATGACTTTTCATTCCATTTTATTTCAAAGGTATCGATTCTGGCATGATTCTATTAACTTAGGACTGAATTTGGCATCGGTCAGTCCTTTTCATTCACTATACGTAGTGACAGGGATACGCTGTTGTCAGGACGTGCCGGAATCGACGCCAGTATGGTATATGTTAAGTGGTATTTATTAATGTCCGTATCTAATTGTCATTTTGTAAGTTATAAGTTAAACAATTTATCTGTATCCGTGTACTGTGCTGAATAAACGATTTTGATTAATTGATTGATATGAAACCGAAGCTGTATAAAACTGAATTGCATACCTCCAGTGAGCTTTTGGCATGGTTTTCAATTCATAAATTTAGTAATTTTAATACTGTTTCAGGTGGTTTTGATTGAAAATTATTTGAGATGCAAATTCAATGGGCCTGAAACCTCCAGACTGTAAAAAGTTGGACCAGATAATGCGTAATTATACCGTTTTGTTCACCAGCTCCTCAATTATATTTTTGGTGTATATTCAAATGAGTTGGAGATTATTTTAAGACAGTTAGTGGGTTTAGCGGATTTCTCTCTTGAACAGGGGTGATGACGGGGTACAGTAAACGAAATTCTATTTAGTCCGTCAGTTAGAAGATCAAAAAATTATGAACACGTATTTTTTCTTTGGGCAATCAACCAAAAAATGACAAAGTTATAGCGCGTCAAAGGGAGTAGGGGCTCGTGACGTCACTTTTAAGTGAAAATTGTACCAAAACGTGACGTCATGCGACTTTTCAAATCAATATATCTCTGCAATGTTTATATTATGTGAAAAAAGAAAAAATACGTATCCAATACTTTTTGATAATCTACCTGATAAACGAAATTAGTCATAATCCTTAACGTCCGTCGAAGTAACCTGGCAGAAGACAACAGAAAATAACACAACGTTTCGGTGGTGTTGCGTTTCTGTCGGTGAGGAAGGTTCTAGGGCTCCACGGGGTAGGAAATAGTAGTAGGTAGGGATAGGGTCAGGGTAGGCAATGGCCAGTCTCACCAGTCGAGGGGGGATGCCTAGGTGCTCCCGGGCATCCCCCCGACCATCAGGAGGAGGAGGAACCTCTGCCGGGGTAACGTGGAGCGTCACTCGGATCCCACAAAACCCGTTCCGGCAGACGAGGGAGCACTGTTGGGTTTTTAGTGGGTAGGGCCCCCCCCCCCCTCATCCCGAACAGCCGCGGAGCCAGCCTGGCTCGGCGGGTAGGCGGGATTTGGGGGGAGGAGGAGTCCCACATAACCCCGCCACATACCCAGGGTGGGGTATGCGTAACGCATTTTCCCAACATAAAAAAAGGGTAGGCAATGGCGGAAGTGATAGCTTTGGTATCGCAAACGTCTATAGGGTATGATGGCCGCTTACAATCAGGCGGATCATACGCTTATTAGCAACACTTTTAACATAAAAAATTAAGAGTAACTCTCCATATACATCTATACTTATAATAAATCTGTAGAGAGGTCAATTCTGTACATGAAATATATTTTCAAAATAACTATGGGGGGGTGATTAGTGATCGATACTGATGCCAAAAATGCAATAAGTAAAATTTTTGTCTGTCTGTCTGTCTGTCTGTCTGTCTGTGTGTATGTTCCTTATAGAAACAAAAACTACTCAACGGATGTTAACGAAAATTGGTACAATTATTCTTCATACTCCTGGGCAGGTTATAGTATACTTTTCATCACGCTACAATCAATAGCAGCAGAGTAGTGAAGGGACATGTTGGGAAAACGGGAGAAGTTACTCCATTTTTTAAGCTTCCGTCGCGTGTGCAGCCTTAATGGTTAAAGTTACATAGAAATCATGTATGACGGAAATATTCTACATAAAATTGTCTAAAAAATATCTCGCAACAGCATATGTCTATCTTTTATGGTTGACTCACAATAACACGTGTAATTATATAAATAAAGTCATTGTTTATGACTTTATTTATAGCACAAGCCTGAGAACAAAAACTATAGTTTACACTACAGCTCTACACCGAAGCGAAGCGAGGGCGGACCACTAGTCTATAATATAAAAATGAATCGCTGAATGTGTTGCTAAGCGCAAATCTCGAGAACAGTTGAACCGATTTCGATAATTCTTTTTTTAGAATATTCCTAGAAGTACGAGGATGGTTCTTACGCAGAGAAAAATTAAAAAAAAATGCCTGAAAAGTCGAAAACCAACACTTTTCTATACTCCCATACAAACGATTTGTAATAAAACTTGAAAATCAATTTGAACTTTAATACCATACCATAAATTTCAAATGTTATCAGAGAGGTTCCGGGAATTCAAAACAATTGAGCGACGTGATGTCAATAGAAGTTTGGAAAAGTCAAATATAACATTTTCAGTTTTTTTTTTATAATTATATGAAGAGTCATTTTAGTCTACACTACAGCTCCACACCGAAGCGAAGCGAGGGCGGGCCACTAGTAATATTATAAATGCAAACCTTTGTATGTCTTGTTTTGTAAATTTTCATATGCTACTTTAATGACTTATGGTAAAGAGATAAAACGGAGTCGGAGAAGAAAATGAGCTTTTTGTTAAGTAAAAAAGCTTGTTGGGGGCTGAAATAGCTACAGAGTCGTCAAGTTGAAATATGACTTCAGAAATTCTTCTGAAGTCACCTTACATTACATCAATTAGAATATAACTATATAGTTACAATAAATATTATAGTTAACATTATATTTAGTACTAGTAGCCCGCCCTCGCTTCGCTTCGGTATTTTATCCCCTTGGGGGTAGAATTGATCAAAATCCTTTCTAAGCGGATGCCTACGTCATAACATCTACCTGCATGCCAAATTTCAGCCCGATCCGTCTAGTAGTTTGGGCTGTGCGTTGATAGATCACTATGTCATTCAATCACCTTTGAGTTTTATAGATATAGGAAGCGGCATTAGATAGGTACAATATTACTGTGTAAAAATGACTATTACCCATCAAATAAGAAATTACAAGAAACACTATGTCCATGCATTACGATTATTTAGATAATCATCAATTTTATAATAGCCCTTATTCATAAGAGTATTCTTGATCTGAGATTTAAATTTGGTCAGTGGAAGCTCAATCAGATCTTGGGGGACCTTCATTAAACAATGCAATACTAGAACCCAGAAATTAACCTCTTGATTTTTGGAGTCTGAAATATGGAAAAATATCTACCTTCTATGTAATAATACAATATTGCAATTGCAATTCAACAGCATATCGTAAATGAACGTTAAATAATCAATAAATAAATAATTTATTCTGAGACTTTCATGTAATATTGATGCAGGTTTCGGTAGCTTAATCTCTTTTAGGTTTCCTCAGGTGACATATTATCCAGGTCAACAACTCATGAATATGAATTTATAAAATTTTCCGTAATTATTGTGGAATATGCTGAAAGTTAGTTTCGGATACACAATCAACCGTTTTATTTATTAATGTTAATAAAACTTTATCATTGATAAATACGATCACTTTGTCATTGTAAATAAAGTTGATATCTTATTGCAAAAAAACTTAAAAAAACATATACAGTTTCAAAGGTAAGGTAGAGGCGGCGGATAAACTTAAAAAGGTAGAGGATGTGAACTTCCGACTCCGAGAGGAGAATTTAAAGATGAAGGCGGAAATGGCGAACATGCGAAAGGAGCTGGAATCGTCATGATTTTTACAAACACACGT